GGCGCCGCCAGGGGGCCTCAGCGCAGATCCGAGAAATCCGCGCGGAGCGCCGAAAGTTTTATATTCTTTTCCTCTTCGAGGAATCCTCCAGGGTCTGGAGCCTCCTGGGACTCGGCGGGTGTATCTGGACCGCATTTCCAGGAACCTTTGGCCCAAAGTTCTCAGCCAAGCTGAGAAGGCGGCTCGCGGGTCCTCATTTATAGGGAAACGAACTCTATACACCGATGATGTTTTCCGACCCTGCGCTGAACTTCGCACAGGAACGCGGATCCCGGCGTATACGGGATCCTGGTGTATACATTTTTCGTTGTTTCCCTTGGGAAACGGGGAAGCTGCATACACCCCCCTCCATCGCCCCCAACCCTCAAAAAGTCCTGGGATTGAAAGCACAGCCCGCCACTGGTGCAGTCTCTGCTCCACTTTCCGCATCTGTGTATACGGGGCCCGCTTCGCGACTGGTCTCGTCGCACCTCACCTCGCCGCAAGGAGCGCCAGGGGTTGGAGGCCTGGAAATGGGCACCAACACCAACACAAGGGGTTGGGTTGCCTCCACAGGGGGAAGATGGTCCTAGATTTCGGTGCTGGTGGTAGTGTGGCGGTCACCTTGGAAGCCAGAATATCACCACCATCACCGAGATCGGGATCTTCCTCCCTCGCTGGAGGTGCACCGCCGACACTGGTGCTGGTGTCGACCTCTGGGCCTGCGAAGGGGGGCTCCCCCTGCCCACGGCCAACCTCGGCCTCGGCCACGGCTCGCCTCCCCGACCACGCGCTGGAGCACGGCCCCGGGAAGCTGGGGAGCCCCTCCGCGGCTCACGGGCTCGGGAGGCGCTCCCGGGAGCCCTGCGTGCTCACCCAGGAGTCGGCGGTGGACGACCTCCCTTTAGAGCAAACCTCCCCTTTAGTGAAAACGGCCTGGGGCCGAAACCGCCGGACCTGGATCCGCAAGAATGGCGGCCGCGACGCCCTCTCGCGAACCGAAGACGGCCAACTCCTTCGTCGACGTGTCAGGGCAGGAGGTCTATCAACCTCCGACTGGGTGGCCGCAGTGGCTCCTCAAATAGCCACCATCGGACCCCGGCGGCCCCCCGCGAGCCTGGAGCCGCCTCCAATGTCTCCTCCAGTGGCCCCCCCGTGGCCTCCCGTTAGCCCCTGGTGGCCTCCAGTGGCGCGAGCAAACGGCTGTGGGCCACTGGAGGCGCAGGAAAGCCAGGCTAGCTGACAATAAGAGGCTCCCAGGATCTTCTCCTGAGCTCAGAAAGGTGGTCCTCCGTCTCGGCGCCTTTGCGAATGTCGAACACTTACCACTTACCCCTGGAGAATAGTTGCCTGTTGCTTGTTCTGCTGTTTTTTTGTTTTGTTTTTCGACCTGCCCCCAAATAGCAGGATCAATCGAAACGGTCCCGGCCGTTCTTGCCGTGAAGCCAGTTTCCTGTTCTCTGAAAGAGCTCCCCCTCGAGCGCGGACTGCATTGAAGGCCCGACTGCGGGACGACGACGACGACGGCTCCCGCTCTACGCTTCCTCACAGTTTCCTCCGAGACGCCTTGGCCAGATAGACTTAGATCGGGCATGTCCTCCACAGGCGGATTTTGGACGAAAAATAAATAAGACTCAAAACATACTCCAGACATGCCAAGAAAGAGTCGAAACATCGTCCCCAGACTAGTTTTTTGACTATTTCGGAATCTTCCTCCTGTAGAGGGACACGCCCGACTTAAGGGTAGACCCCCGCACTCAGGAGCGGCGCTCCCGCGCAACGATTTCTCGCAGTTCGGTCAAGATGGCCAAGGCCAAGCTGCGACGAGAAGGGCTGGAGCGAGTACAGCGCTGAGTCCTCCAGTCCTCTGGGGCTCGTGCTGCACTCGCTGGGAGCGCCGAACCCTCCGCGGCTCGCGCTCGTAATCTTAGGTCGGGCGTGTCCCGCTGCAGGCAGAGTTTGGAGGAAAAATCGAAAATAGTCCAAAAATATTCAAACATAGTCAAAACATAAAAGAAACATCGTCCCCACACTATTTTTGGACTAGTTTTGAATATTCCCCCTGTAGAGGACGCCCGACTTCATCGTAATCGCCCAGCGCAGAAACCTGCAATGCTCGTGGGGCGGATTCCCCCCAAGGCTCGCCGTTGTTGCGTTCCACCGTGCGGTTTGCGCGAAGCCGTGAAATACTCTGCAGCCCTCCAGGCCTCCTCCACCGTCCCTTCTGTTTCCACCCACTTCATCATCCTCGTGCTCCGTTTCCCGCGCGTCGTCTCCCTTAGCACTCCCTGCCCATCATCCCTCCGTCTCCTCGGCCCTTCCTTCTCCACTCCCGCCCTCAGTCTTGCACCGTCATCCCGTCCTTGTAATTGGCGCCCTCCTCCTCTTCCTCGTCATCAGAGGCATGAGCACCATCATCATCACCATCCGTGCTCCTCCTCCTCCTCCTCCTCCTCCTCTGGCCCTCCCGCTCCTCCTCGCTCCTCCTCCTCCTCCTCCTCCTCCTCCTCTCCTCCTCCTCCTCCTCCTCCTCCTCCTCTTCCTCTCCTCCTCCTCCTCCTCCTCCCGGCCCTCCGCCCGCGCCCCCCCCCCCCCCCCGCCGCGCCCAGGAGGCGCGGCTGGGCGCCACCCCTGCCCAGTGGAGCCCACGGGTGCCACCCGCACGCGCCGTCCCTCTTCGGGCCCCCCCACTCTCCGCTCCCCGAGATCCGCCTCGGCCTCGGGCCTTTGCCTCTCCGCCCAGACAGGACCGAAGCGCTCGCGCTCTCTCTCCGTCCTCTCGGAACCGCGTGCTCCGGCCTCGATCCTCCTCGAGCCTCGCACCTCGACTTCCCGCCCGGAACGCCGCCCGGACGCTCGTTCTCGCCGCCCCCGTGGGATGTCCTCTTCGAGCCTCGGTCCACATCGGCACTCGAGCCTCGCTCGACCCACCACCCGAACGGCATCCATACGATCGCTCTTCGTCTTCTTCGAACCTCCTCTTCGAAGCCCAATGCACCTCGACCCTCGAACCTCCACCTCCAACCCAGACAACTACTCAAGCACTCATGTTGGGTTGACCCAAAAGTAGGTCCAGCTGAAAGGTGGTGCAATAGAGTTGGGGCAATTGTATCGCAAACGTATTGCGCCAGAGAATTGTATTGCATTGTATTGCAAGTGATGTACTGGACGCGAACATCCAGCAATACAATTGCGCCCTGGACTGTATTGCACGCCCCAAGTGTATTGCAACCCTTGCACCGAATCTCTTGCACCACCCCCTGGTCGCTGGATCGCCTTTGGGTCAACCCGACTCGTGCTCTTCTCTCCTCTTCGAGACTCCCCTTCGAGCCTTGATCTTAGGACCCGCCCCTTCGACCGTCGATCAGGGGGCCGTGGGCGCGGGCTGTGATAAGCAGGATCGACCCTTCGACCCTTCCCTTCGCACCTCGCTGGAAACAAAGGCTGCAACGATGGTTCCCGAAGCACTGTGCAGCCTTGCGTTTTCTCTGCATGCTGGTACGTGTGTGATCAACACTTCCGCTTCTGCCTGTCCGTCTGTCTGCCCATGCCCACGGGAAAACGCAGCCGGGGGTCGACACATTCTCCAGTCTTCGTTCTCCCCACCGGACTCCTCAAAGTCCTGGCTGGCAGCGTCCTGGTTTCCGGGCACCCGACTCGACCTTCCAGGGAGGGGAGCCCGCGACCTCGAATCGGCGACGCAGCGCCGACACATCGATCGATGGCACGCTCTCGGTAGGGAAGCAGCGCGTCACCGAGCGGGGTGGGCGATTGCTGTGGGGCCCTCATCGGCGAGGGCTGGGCGATCGGCGTCGATGGACCTTCCCCTGCGCCGATCCCCACGCTGACGCTGCCTCGGATTTGTTCGCTCCCGTCGAGCCTCCTCGCCGCGCCTCGACCTCTGGACCAGGCCCCCCCCCCGCAGCCGGAGGAGCGGACGCGACATGCCAACGGCACGGCGCCGTGGGGCACCCGTCCGCGAGCTGCCGAGAAGCAGCACCCGGCCCTCGGGCAAGCTCGGGCGTTGGCAGAACCGGGTTTCGTGGAACCTGGTTTAGTGTACGGCGGGTTCGTGTCGTGCCGACCCCAGCGTTGGTTTTTGACACCGCAGGGATCGTTCAACCTTGAACGATCGGCCGTCTCCGCAACGTCCAATCGTTCAACATCGATCGATTCTGGGCCGCCGGCGGCGTTCAACCTTGAACGCCCGCGCTGGGGTCGCCGCTGGTCGACACGACGCAAACCTACCGTAACTAGGTTTAGTGGAACCTGGTTTAGTGATCTCTACCAAGGGCGCCCCCCCCCCGCCCCATTTCCACTCGCCGGACCTGCCGTCACCCGAAAAAAAACGCCAGCTATGGCAAACCTGGCCTCGTGACTCTGGCCAATCCAGGGACTCCGAGGCGTTACCACTAACCGGGTCCCCTTACCGGGGGGTCCTGGCCATGCCCGAGCGCGCTGAGGGGACGTCCCCCCGGGGGCGGCGAGGCACTGCTGCTCTCCCCGCTCCCCCTCCCGAGCGGCCCTCGGCCTTCCGCCCCCAACGCGGCGCCCGCGGCCACCGCGGGCCTGGGCCTGGGCGCCGCACGCTGCCGCTTCCCGCGGCGAGGGGCAACGATAGGGGGGGGGAGCCGGCACAGAAGGGGGCGGGGGGCAACGTCGAACTGGAATCGGCGATACATCGCCGATGGATCGGCGACAGGCCCCTGGTAGCCAGTCCCGACGTTCCTGAGCCGGGTGGGGCCAGGTGCCTACAGGGCAGCTTTTAACACATAGGATTTTTAAACATATATGATTTTTAATACATGGTTAAGGTATGCATAAATGTATGCCTGAACCCATCCTTGTTTTCAATGCTAAAAAATCCCTGAATTGTTAATACATGATCCGCACGCGGAGCATGTATCAAAAACGGCACTGTGCTCCTACCTATCCTTGACCCTCAACAGGGCGGCGCGACACGGAGGCTCTCTCTCTCTCTCTCTCTCTCCCCCTTCGCTCCCGATCGGCCCTCGACCTTTTTTCGCCCTCGGGACGCCCGCAGCGGCAACGGGCCCGGGCCGTGGCGCCCCGCGCTGCCGCTCCCTGGCGCCTGGGCCGCGGCGCGCGCGGCCGGGCCGAGGCGTGGCGGGCGCGAGGCGGCCTCAGAGCGAGGAGCCGAGGCGTCGTCGCCGCGTACAGTCGGGGCGTGGACCTAAGGAACCCTAAGATAAGGAACGAGGCCCCTGTTTTCCATAAGTTGACCTTCGATTTCCCGTCGAAAACATGAGGAAAGCCTGAGGCAAGCTGTGAAACACTTCAGGAACGCGGAGCCCCTTCCCAACGAAAAGGGTTCCTTCTTCAGGGCCCCGACTGTAGAGTCGTCGCGCTGCCAGCAGGAGCTGCAGCGACGAGGAGGAAGAAGGGGGGCTGCTCAAGCTACGGATAGGTCGGGCATGTCCCCCCTACAGGCCGATTTTGGACGAAGAATCAAACATAGTCAAATCAGATTCGCAAGGAGTCAAAAAAGGTAATCAGAAAGTCGTCCCCTGTTTTGTAACTATTTTTGGATATCCCTCCTGTAGGGGGACAGGCCCGACTTCAAGCTGTTACGGCGATCCGCGGCCACGAGTAGGCTGCCCGACATGGATCGAGGGAGCGGCCTCAAAACAAGGGCCTCTCACTGGAGGAGGAGGAGGAGGACGAGGAGGAGGAGGAGGAGAAGGAGGAGGAGGAGGAAAGGGAGGAGGAGGAGGAGGAGGAGGAGTGAGGAGGAGCAGGAGGGGAACCCGATTTGGTGCTTATTTCAACGTCTTGGCTGCAATGCAGTCACGGGTTCGACGCGGACTTGGCGCGGATTCGACGTGGGCGACGAAAAGAACCGGGTCGTACGCATGATGACATCGCGACCTTCCGCGGTGGCTTACGCGGGCCGCCAGCGCGGCACACCGCGTGGGGCACGAGGGCGCTTACGCGCGACCTTACGCGGGCAGCTTAGGCGCCAATGTCGGCGCAATCGACCCCGATGTTTTGCGTCGGATCCGACGCGGGTTTACCGAGTCCGACATGGATTCGGCGCGGCTAGGTGCGCGACAGGACAGACCATGTGCACCGAAGACACAAGATGACGACGGGATGCTTTTGTCGACCCAGGGAAAGGCAGAGTGGTGGGCGGGCTGAGGCGGGCTGTCTCAGAAGGCTTTGCAGGGTCCCCGGCATTGTCAGAAGCTTTCACAAACCCGTCTCCGAGGCCACGAGAGTGGCTGAAAAGAAGGCAAGAAGACTTCTGAGACGCCACGCCGCCTTCTGAGAAGGCCTGCCTCCTCTCACTTCCCCGCTCGGCGCACCACCGATCAGAGCAGAGACCCCATCGCGTCAAGAAAACATGGCGAAAGGCGTTTCGCTGGTTTCGACTCCTGGGGCTCCAACGGTGAGGAACTGTGGCTTGGCGTGTCGCGGCGGCGGTCCCAGCGATACGCTGTGCCCTGCCAGCTAATAGCGTGTCGCTCTGGTCGGCGGGGCGGGGAGCTTGGAAGAGTTCTGGACGTGTATGTTTGGGGACTGGGACGTGGTCAGCGTGTCGCGCCCAAGCGTGGTGCGCCAGACCAATCAAGCGATCCTGACCGTACACTGGGCCTCAGGACCGCCCAAATTGAGAAGCTTGCTCCGTGGAAGCGGTCTAGACATCCAGGGTCCCACGTTGAGGGAAATCACGAAAACGAGAGGACCGGGATAGAGGGGGATAGTGAGGAGGACGGATGAGGGCGAGGTAAAGCCCCTCCTCCTCCTCCTCCTCCTCCTCCTCCTCCTTTTCCTCCTCCTCCTCCTCCTCCTCCTCCTCCTCCTCCTCCTCCTCCTCCTCCTCCTCCTCCTCCTCCTCCCCCTCTCTCCTCCTCCCTCCTCCTCCTTCTCTCCTCCTCCCTCCCTCTCCCCTTCCCCTCCTCCCGCTCCCCCCCTCTCCACCCCCTCCCTCCGCCCTTCCTTCTCGCCACTCTCATCCTCACACTTGCCCCTTGGGCTTCAAGGGGGGGTCTCAGATGGCTCCCCAGGTTCCCAGGATCCCAGGATGTAACCAGGTTCCCAGGATGCATCTTCCTCCTTCCTCCTCCTCCTCCTCCTCCTCCTCCTCCTCCTCCTCCTCCTCCTCCTCCTCCTCCTCCTCCTCCTCCTCCTCCTCCTCCTCCTCCTCCAGGAACAAAGGACCCGAGGAACACGAGGAAAGGATGAGAGGAACCCACACCTCAAAACGTGAACAAAAAAAGCGACGCCAAATTTCCTTGAGCTCCGGAAGCCCGAGCAAAACAGGATCACTCGTTCGGCGCACGTCAGGTTGAAGCCCGAGTGCAGGAGGAAGCAGAGGAGAAGGAATGGGAGGTAGGCGGAGGGAAGGAGGAGGAGGAGGACTAGGAAGAGTAGGAAGAACGGGATGAACGCGGCTGAGGGGGGAGGGAAAGATGGGGTGGCCAGGAGGGGGGAGCGGAAGTGGCGCAGAGTGAGCGGGGGGATGTCAGCGGGAGGAGATCGAGCATGGCTCTGGCCTCAGTCCTTGGCGTTCTCGGGCTTGTGCTCCCGCAGCTCCTGCTTGACTGCCACGCGCTGCTTAATGTTGCGCCACACGATGAAGACGTACAGCAGAATGCCTTCTCTCCCTCCGCCTCCGCCTCCGCCTCAAGCTCTATCCATGCTCCCTTCAGATAGCACCTCCATGTTGCACCTCACGACGTGCCGATAAGGCAGGCTGGGCGTTTCGCTTGAGACGTCTTCACATGTTTGAGGCTTCCTCACACTTCAGAATACTGAAGCTTGGCAGCAGCTTTGAACATGGAGGGGGGGAATGGCGCTGTCCCCTTAGCGCTTCGCGCACTCGTCCTCAAGCATTGCAGCACATTCGCAAAGGGGGACGGCTCCTGTTTTTTTATGGGATGGCCTCGGCCCCTCGCACGATCGTCTGAAGCAGCAGCTTGAAATATGGAGAGGGAAACTTGTTTTCAAAAAGAAGCTATCGAATTAGCGTTGCGCGCATTTGCTATAAACCCCTTACAGCATCGGCAGAGGAGAGGGGCGGCTCCGTTTCGCGTGCTGTTCCGTCCTTCTTATACACCCGAAACTTGAACTATGCACCAACTGGGGAACGGATGGAGGGCGGCTCTTGCTCTTTTTCAAGATGCTGCTGTCTTTCTCGCTTTGGTGCCGCGCGCATTCGTCTCAAAGCCCTGCAGCAGCCTCAGGGGTGGAGAAGAGGGCAGTCCTCGACTCGTGCACTCGCCACCTGGCCATCGCTCGGACGTCCATTCCCTCTGTTTTTGTCGGTTTCGTGCGTGTTTTTTTCGCCAAATGATCGAGGATGCTCCTCGATGGCCCTCGCCGAGGAAAAAACGCACACGTCCGAGCGATGCATTCGCCACAGCGCAACGTTTGCCTTCGTTTGAACCTCGTGCGACCGCTTCGGGGACGGAGGGCGGCGCCTTCTCAAAGCGGGGCCCTCGCCTCAGCGCAGAGAACTTACCATCCTCGAACGTATCCCTATCCCTAAGATTGACACGCCCAAAGGGCGATGAAAATCTTAGTCATTCGCCCTCAAAAAAAGGGAATCCCTAAGATTGACATCGTGATGAGGAGGTGCCCAGCATAGGGATCGGGATATGTTCCAGGCTGGTAAAAAGTGGAGCCCTCGCCTCAGCGCCAAGAACACACGTCTCGAACCCCTTGCAGCATATCCAAAGCTTGAACACACGACGTCTTGAACACGGGTGCGAACCTGAGCGCCGCACGCACTCGCGTGCATTGCACAGCATCCCCAGATGCATGGAAGGCAACTGCTCTCGAGACTGGCTCCGCGCTGGAAGCTCCGATGCACTCAGATGCACGCAGCTACAGCGAATGCAGCGCTGCACGGATCAAGGGCGGCTCTTCTTGAACTCGGAGCTGTCGCTCGGGACTTCCGCGACAGCTCACGGGAGTGCGGGCTCGTGCAGCGGCTCCGCGGATGGGGAACGTTCCTTCGTCGAAGAGGGGATGTTGCTGGAATCTTCCGTTAACTGTATGATCATGTGTTTCACGTTTTTGTCGGCGCGCAAAAGAAGCTGCACGGCAATTGTTTGTCAAAGCGGAGCCCTAACCAACATGGCAAGCACAACCGTGCTGGTCTTTCAAGAGGAACGCTTCTGGCAGTGACATGTGAGGACGCGTTTTGGGGGAGAGGGTTTGGGACGGAAGGGTGTTTTGCAGCATCGCTGATGCATCTTTGGTTTTCTCTGATCATCCCCCTCCTCCTCCCACTTCTCCTCCTCCTCCTCCTCTTCTTCCTCCACCTCCTCCGCCCTACTCCTCCTTCTCTTCTATCCCCCCCAAAGCTCTCCACCACCTCCTCCCTCCCTCCTCCTCCTCCCTCCCTCCCTCCTTCCTTCCTCCCCTCCCTCCTCCCTCCCTCCCTCCTCCCTCCCTTCACCCCCCCTCTTCAAACCCTTCCCCCTCCTCCTCCACCGCTTCTTCAAAAAGCTGCTTGTTCGCCCTGGATGCGCGTTTGTGCATGGCCCCAGGGCCCGAAAAAGAACCCCAAAGGGCCGAACTCGAGGAAACACGGCCCGGGGCCCGGGCTGGGCTGAGCAAAGGCAGAGCGTCGGAGAGCTGAGTGCACCCTCGGCCTCTTCAGGGGTGCGTGCTGACCCCAATTTCGCAAAAGGCATCTTTCAGCAGCGGCGAGGGCAAAAAGGTAGCGAGATGGTGCCTACTCCTCCTCCTCCTCCTGCTCCCCCTTCTTCTCCTCCTCACTCCTCACTCCTCCTCCTCCTCGCTTCGCCTTCGCTGGGCTCGTCCACTGCGCATTTGTCGTTCCAATCTCGACCTATACCCTGCCAGGGCACGCCGTTTGCGGGGCAATGCACAGATACACAGATTTTCCCCCACACAGAGGCGGTGCGCAAGGGAAAGGCTGGTCTTGCGTCAAATTCCCGCGGCGCGAGCTCAGGGAAAACAGCGGTCTTAAGTAACATTGCCTCGGCGCGTCAAGACGCGACTAAAACGTCGCGAAATTCGACCCACAAATGCGAGCGACAGCTGACGAGGAGGACGAGGAAGGGGGAGAGGAGGGAGGAGGACGAGGCGAAGAGGCAAGGGCGCTGTGCGGATAACCCCATATGGTCCAAATGGCCACCAAATTAATCCCAAAATGCACAGCGCAATCCAAAGGGGAAGAGGAAGCAACGGAGGAGGAGGAGGAGGAGGAGGAGAAGGAGGAGAAGGAGGAGGAGGAGGAGGAGGAGCAGGAGGAGGAGGGAGGAAGACACGCAGGCTCGCGCGCTGGGGAAGGGCCCAAGCGCACACCTGCCCCACGCGGTCGGAGAACGAGGAGGCCGAGGAGTGGGAGGAAAAGGGCGAGGGGTACGCGCGAAGGTGCGTGCTGTGGCACCCTCGCGCGAAGGCACCTGCAGAAGTGCTCCGGGCCGTCGCGGCGGGAGCGGGAGGCCGAGGCCCATGTTCGGCAAGAAGAGGCTAAGAGGCTCGCGGTGGGGCCGCCGGTGGGCACGCGGCCCGACCGCGACGCGCGTGCACGAGAAGAGCGAGGAGGAAAAAACGACGAAACATAATTAATGATCAGGATACTGCTAGTCCCAAGAAGAAAAACAAACATACGAAGAAACAACATAAGAATGAGACCTACAAGCAATACCAATAATAAGATGGATAAGACTTAGAACACATAACCATCGATCTGTTAGCACCAAGAAGAAGAACAACCATACGAATAAGCAACCTGATAATGATCAGACATAAGAGCAATACTAAGAACAATACTGATACTTATAAAAGCAATATCAATAATACTTAGAACTAATAAACATCGATCTGAATACGCACGTCCGCCCACATCGGCACCGCCACGGCCGCGGCATGGAAAAGCTGCGGATCAGGCAGATTGCGTCCTCAGAAACCATTGGGCCCTGGCGCGCACGCGTCAAAAAACCCCAATAAAAAAATGCCCCGCTGCTACCTCACGAAATGCCTGCGTCCAGATGTCCCCGGCGTTGACGGCGTCATCGCGGCTCGCGGTGCTCGATGCGCGGAACGTCGCGAAGAGGCGCAACGCCTTCACCAGAAGCAGGTCCTGCTGGGTCGGGTCGAAAACCGGCGCCAACAGCAAGATGTCGTCGAACTACAGGCCCGCGCGCGCCGGGGCGAGGAGGCGCGTGCGCGCGCCAGCTGCTCGACGACCCGGCGGTGCGCATAGTGGTGCAGTGAGTCCTGGCCCTGGCAGCACTGGAAAAGGCAATCTCTGGTGGAGATCGTGCGGACGCCCATTGCCGCAGCCCAGACGCATGGGGGCATCTTGTTCCTCAAGCCCAACAACATACGCATCGCCATGCCCGCCCTCCTGCCCGGGAGAGTGCCCATCCGAAACCGATCCAGCTGGCGCCGCAGGTGTCGATGAACGAGCTCTGTGTCGCGATGCTGGAGCACGTCGACGCAAGGCCTTTGCCATCGCTCCCGCGGCACATCTGCAACATCCGCACCTCGAAGAAACTCCTCCACGAACACCCCGCTCTCGTAGGCTCGTTGTTCGAATCTGGACTGGGCTTGTTCCAGGTGGTGGAGGAAGTCGCCGGCTCAATCCAACCAATCGAGTGGAATCTCGGCTTGGCCGGTTATGGATTTTAGGCGCCAGGCGCTGCGATCCACGTCCAGTCCGCCTCTCTGATGACCCTCCCAGCGGTGCACACGGCATTTGGCAGCCAGCGAAATTGTAGCCGCGCAAGGCAACTCCAAAGGATACCCGACGTCCTGGAAGTGCATCAGGAATTGCAGGGACATCCATCCACGTGGGCCTGGAAAGAGCGCGTTTCAGATCTTTCGCTCCAATGCTGGCCAATCCCCCGGTAGTTCTTTCAGCTGCAAGAGGAAATTGGCCACGGGGATGTCGGTGACAGGCGCGGACGACGACACGAGAAGTCCGCCCCCGATATCTCCCCTCATCCTCGCGCGGTCCATCGGCTTCATGACATATAGACATCAGCTTAAGCGGTATCTCCAGCCTTTGTTGTTCGCAGCAAGCTGTCGAATATCATGTAATGTTTGCCAAATGAGTGGACAACAACATTAACAACAACAACAACAACAACAACACCACTACCACCACCAACAACAACAACACCAACACCAACAACAACAACAACAGCAGTAACAACAACAACAACAACATCAACAAACATGTTAAGACCGTTCGCCCTTATATGCTCGAGTTTCCGATAACGCGTATTCCCCAAACCCTCGATACCCGCCCTCTTCGTCTTCGATCGAACCCCTTTTGGGGGGTATACCTTTCTTCCCTGCAGGCCAGGCCACGGCAAGCGGCGGGGCGGCCGCGGACCGTCGGCTTGGCCAGCGGCAGCGCTGATCGGCGGGGCGGTCGCGGACCGCCGACCCGACCCCAAGAGGGACGGACAGGGGACCGACCACGACGACGACGACGACGACGACGACGACGACGTCGAAGACGACGGCGACGACGACGACGACGGCGACGACGAGCGAAAGCGAGAGCGAGAGAGAACGACAGCAGGGCCACGAAGGGCACGAAGTAGGCCACGAAGGGCGACAGCGGGGACACGAAGGGAATGCGTATGGGCGTATGGGGCCACGAAGAGCGCGAACGAGCGTGGGCCACGAAGTGCAGATAATGCGGGGCCACAGAAGGCAACTATGGGACCACTGAGGGTAGCAACTGGGCCACGTAGGACAGTGAGGGGGACACAATGGCAGCGGGGCCACGAGGGGCATGCACATGGGGCCACAACGGGCGTGACTCCTGGGTGCCTGGGTGTCGGGAGCGCGGCACTTGGGCAAATTGCAGGAAATCCCAACGCAATGCCATTCTTCAGTAATTTGCAAGCAAGTCTCCAACGAGAGCGCGACTCCAGAGCGCCGGGAGAGCGATCCTTTAACACACTGTAAGAAGTCCCAAGCGAGAGCGCGAGTCCCAAATAAATTGAGAGGAAGTCTCGGGCGGGAGCGGGGGTCCTGGCTAAATTGTAAGGAAATCTCAAGCGGGAGCCGTTGTTGTTGTAACCCGGGGGCCAGGGGCCCAGTTTGAGCAGGAAGACTTTCCCTGTCAAAAACCAGGTGCGAGCATCGAGGGGCACACTTTGATAGAGAAAAAACAGTATGCACCGGTGGGGGGGATCAACAATAATTATTCTTCAGAAAGGAGAACTCAACAACAATAATTTTAAGACTGTTCGCCCTTATATGCTCGAGTGTCCGACAACGCGTATTTCCCAAACCCTCGATACCCGCCCTCTTCGTTTTCGATCGAACCCCTTTTGGGGGGTATACTTTTCTTCCCTGCAGGCCAAGCCCCGGCAAGCGGCGGGGCGGCCGCGGACCGTCGGCCTGGCCAGCGGCAGCGCTGATCGGCGGGGCGGCCGCGGACCGTCGAACCGACCCCAAGGGGGACGGACAGGGGACCGACCCCGACGACGACGACGACGTCGAACACGACGGCGACGACGACGACGACGACGAGCGAAAGCGAGAGCGAGAGAGAACGACAGCAAGGCCACGAAGGACACGAAGCAGGCCACGAAGGGCGACAGCGGGGACACGAAGGGAATGCGTATGGGGCCACGAAGAGCGCGAACGAGCGGGGGCCACGAAGGGCAGATAGTGCGGGGCCACAGAAGGCAACGATGGGGCCTCTGAGGGTAGCAACTGGACCACGTAGGACAATGAGGGGGCCACAAACTGCGACAGCGGGGCCACGAAGGGCACGCACATGGGGCCACAACGGGCGCGACTCCTGGGTGCCTGGGTGTCGGGAGCGCGGCGCTTGATTCCAACGCAATGGCGCTTATCTTCAGTGAATTGCAAGCACGTCTCCAGCGAAAGCGCGACTACAGAGCGCTGGGAGAGCGATTCCTGCATAAGTTGTAAGGATGTCCCAAGCGAGAGCGCGAGTCCTGAATAAGATGCGAGGAAGTCTCGGGCGGGGGCGGGAGTCCTGGCTAAATTGTAAGGAAGTCTCAGGCGGGAGCCGTTGTTGTTGTAACCCGGGGGCCAGGGGCCCAGTTTGAGCATCAAGACTTGCCCTGTCAAAAAACAGGGTGCGAGCGTCGAGGGGCAAACTTTGATTGAGAAAAACAGTATGCACCGGTGGGGGAGGATCAACAATAATTATTCTTCAGAAATGAGAGTTCAACAACAACAACAACACCAACAACAACAACAACAACAGCAACAGCAACAGCAACAGCAACAACAACAACAACAACAATCATTTTACCCGAACGCTCAGTGTTCTCCCCAGTGCCAGGGTTTTCTTGCGACACCAGCCAATACCCCCACTTCGTGGGGGGGCCGTTCAAGCTCTACCAAATATCCAAACGACTCTTCGAGACCACCCACACCCAGCTTCCCGCCCTATGACGTTGGGACACTTCACTTCGTGGCGTGCGGACGACCCTGGCTACTACACTGGCGTGGGGTACACACCCACAGAGGTTGATCACATCTGTTACATATGATGTGGTACACGGTACACGTGAGATGGTACGCAGTGCCAAGATAGTTGGTCACATTTTTGGGGCAAATTCGTGGGGATGCGATTACAGAAGTACATGTGTTACACTGATGTTATACAGTCCCAAGGATGACGCATGCATTGCTCATAGACTCATGGCGCTATGATCCTAACTCTCAGTGCCCAACGCGCGCGTGCACAGCCAGACGGAGGGAGAGAAACACATGTATACAAGGTTCGTGACATACGCACGGTCCACCATGTTGTAAACGATCGCATGCACGGTAAGTTCTGAAATTATACGTATGTACAAGCAGACATGCGAGGGAGAAAGGGAGATGGCCATCGACAGTTCCAATACGGCTCCAAGGCGGAAGAGGGGGAGGAGGAGCAGGACAAGGAGGAAAGGAGAGAAGCGAGAAAGGAAGAACGCAGACGGCGCGGCTCTGGACACAAAGGGGTGCCATACTTTCTCCTGCTTTCGCAAACAGGTCCAGTCACACGTAGGGGTATACTCAACCGAATGGTCTTCGCATCCAGAAGCATACTAAAGGCGCGACGCATCGTCGTCTGCGATGGCGCGGAGCGGGCGCGTGGGTGCCCGGCTGCCTGGCTGATACACGTGCGGGCCTGGCTGATACCCGTGCGGTCCCAGATGCCCAATGAGATTGCCGATACGCCTGCTGGCGGGAAGGCCGGTGCTTGCATACGGCAGTGCTACCGCGAGCACGTTGTGGACCTGCGGTGGCAAGGCCTGGTAATCGAGCATGTTCGGAAGCTCGTCGCTCTGACCATACGACCGCCATACGGGCAACCACCACCACTGGTCTTGACGCGGATACGTGATCTCTGTGCCGACCTCAGGGGATACGTTCCAAAGGGCCATTTTCTGCGGGTCCGTACCCATGAAGGCCGCGTGGTACGCAATGAATACGTCCAAGGTGGCCAGGGCCCTGTAGGAGAGGCCGGATACGATCTCCGCATGAATGGGAATAGCGAGCTGACCGAGCAAATACCGCATACTGCGATACACCCACTGGCCCGGGTGGACGAAGAGGTTGGCTTTCCAGGCGACGATACCTGCTGCGGTGCACAGCGTGTCGAATACGTGCACAAGGTAGCCAATGGGCTTCCCAAGCCTCTCATCCTGGAATACCGAGAAGTTCCCGAATACCGCGTTCGCGTAAAAGTACGCGTCGAAGTACAGCCATTCGGGCTCGGCGATGCCCCCCATACTGTGCTGGTACTCCAGGTCGTTGTTGATCTTCGACTGCCCCGTGGACATACCGCTCGATACGGCGAGGCACACGCCCGTAACACCCTCCCATAGAAGAGGGAAGAAGATACCGCACGCGAACCACCTTTCCGAGCCACACTGCTTCAACCAGCGGCGTGCATACGCCTCGTGGCCGGGTGGCGTATGCCAGCGATCCATACTCGAGCTCACTTCATCATCCGACGGGAAATACTCGCCCGTCAAGGGGTCAAAGACGGCCCCGTCAGTGGTCCCGTCAGTGGTCCCCTCGGGCATGTCTTTGCGAATACGTTCTCCATACCAGGTCTCCAAGTGGCCAGCGTTCTGCACTTGGACAAGCGTGTCTTTGGATGAATACTGCAGTAGCCACGCCGTTGCGACCCTATCTGGCACATACAGTGGTGGATCCAACTGTCGGAGCGCCCGGCATAATTTGAAAGCGGTATTATACTCAATGCCCAGGTGGCGGATGGCAGAGCCGTGCTGCTCCTCCAGCTCCTTGGCGCTAGAAATACTGACCGTGCCAGTCACAACCCGATACTTGGCCCACCAAGTCTTGCACGCCTGGTGACTAGCATTGATACCCTTTGCCCGGAGCGCCTGATGCAAATAATACGCACTCTCGCAGTCGGCCAAGGGAGGCCGCGACAGCTCAGGGCCATACTGCTCGTGAAGGTCTTTCGCCGTCAAAGCCATGATCCAAGAACACAGGCGATACCTTGATCCGAGATGGCTACGGATATGTGCGTCAGCAGTCGGGGGCCTTCCTGGGGCCGCTTGGGGTCCTCTTGGGGAAGGGGGGAAGCCTCCTGGCGCGGTTTGGGGTCCACTTGAGAGCCTTTGGGGGGCTCCTTGGAACCATCTTGGGGCCTCTTGGGGGCTTATTGGACCCTCACGGCGGACTCTTGGGGCCTCTAGAACGCCTCCTGGGGCCATCTTGGGGGTCTCTTGGAGCCACCTTGGAGCCTCTCTGGAACCTCTTGGGGGCCTCTTGGAGTCCTCTTGAAGCCTCTTGGGACCATCTTGGGCGCCTCTTTGGGCCTCATGGACGCCTCTTGGGGCCATCTTGCGCGCCTGTTGGGGCCATCTTGGGTTTTAAAGATTCATCAAGAGACCGCGAATGGATTTCGAGATTTTTCGGATGAGAAAGTAGTGCGTTTTCATATGTTTTCTGAACATCGCATCTTGAAATTATTGAAAACCCATTGTGTTTGGCAGGATTTCGACATGCGCGCGCGGCGGCCGCGCGCATGTGCACTTCGTCTCATTTTTTGCAAGGGATGGTGGCCCTCGCAGGCGCGCAACCGTTGTTGGAGAAGTTCAAAGCACCTGAAGAAGTAGCACGCAAAGACCCTTTTGACAGAAATGTTTAAAAAGTGGTGTGTTTCCTATGAATCCGCAAGAGCGCGCGGAAGGACATTTTGACAATTTGTTCTTAAAAAACCATTGGGTTTTTGATGTTTTTATGTTAAAATCGTTACGAAACCTAAGGTTTTGGAAGGATTTCGTCTTGCGAGCGCGAATGTCCACTTTACCTTATTTTTTGCAAGGGATTCTTGAAATTTGATCAACTAAGAACAAGAATTTCATTTTCTATTTTTTTTTGCAAGGGAAAACGAGCGTCAACAAAAAACCGGATCCGGGGGTAATCCACTTTTCTGAAGCTTTCGCAGAAAAATGATGAAAATGTAGCTGCGGCCTAGGTTTTGGGCGGGGGGCGTGCACCAGGGGGTCCAACAATAATAATTCTTTAGAAGTAATAGTGTTCAACAACAACAACAACAACAGTAGCAGCAACAACAACAACAACAACAACAACAACAACAACAACAACAACAACAAACGCCCTCTACCCCGCTCTGATCACGACAGGCTGGGACCCTCGACCCCGCGCTTGGCCAACGCCAGGGGGAGGGGGAGAAAAAAACAGGTCGTAAGAGAGAAGGAGAAGGGGCCAGACACGTGGATGCACACCTCGGAGAAAAAAGGGAGAGAGAGAGAAGGAGGTGGGTCACTAAACTCTGGCTCTCCTCCTCCTCCTGCTCCTCCTCCTCCTCCGCCTCCGCCTCCTCCTCCTCTCCTCCTCCTCCTCCTCCTCCTCCTCCTCCTCCTCCTCCTCCTCCTCCTCCTCCTCCTCCCTCCTCCTCCTCCTCCTCCTCCCCTCTCCTCCCCCCCCTCCTCCTCCCCCCCCTCCCCCGCCCCTCCTTGCGCCAGGCAGATCAACCCCACGGCCCACACCGGCAGCCGCCCTGGCCTCGAGCCGCCAAGGGCCCTGGCGCGGAGCAGCGGCGCCGCTGCGTCGGCCGCCTCCGGGGCGCCCCCCTGCAGCAGGGCCTCCAGCGCCACGCCGCCGCTGGCGTTCATCCTCCGCTTAGCGGGCGAAGCACGAGATAACATACAGTAGGGGCCCTCCCACAAGAAACCTTCCACAAGAAACCCAACCTTGAGACCCCAGGACGTCCATAGACTTTTTTGGTGTGGGAGCGTCACGCGTTCCATCGCAAAACCATCGAGACCCAAGAAGCCCAGGGCACAATGGAGGCAAGCAGGGTGCTTCTTGATGTAGGTCCCCACGGCAAACTTTTCCGCCGTCTGGAACGCCTGCCCCGGGACGGCTGGAAAACTTCTACCCTTACGGCGGCCAGCTCTCCTCCTCACTCTCTCTCTCTCTCTCTCTCTCGCAGCCGCTGGCGCGTCAACGCAAACGCCCCCGCGCAGGCCACGCGTCCTGGGGGCGCGACGGCCACCCAGAGACTGTCCCGGTCCGGAGGGAGGGAGGAGGGGGGGCCACCCGCTCTCGTACTCCACCTGAGGCCTTCGCATCTCCTACTCCTCCTCCTCCTCTTCCTCCTCCTCCTCCTCCTCCTCCTCCTCCTCCTCCTCCTCCTCCTCCTCCTCTCCCTCCTCCTCCTCCTCCTCCTCCTCCTCCCCCTCCTCCTCCTCCTCCTTCCTCTGGCGTTGCCCCTGCGGGGCCTCCGCCGCGTTGCCACGCCCCGCCGCGCCCCGCCGCGCCCCGCCGCGCCAGCCCGCGGGAGGCGCCCGCGGCGGGCGGCGGGCCCGCCTGCCTGGCGCCCCGCCGGCGCCAGGGCAGGCGCCACATCACCGGGGGGGTAGTGGCGCGCGCCCGTTGATGGTCCCCAGGCCGCCCCGCGCCCTCGGGCCTTGGAGAAGGGGAGGAGGAGGAGAGAGGCGGAGGAGGAGAAGATGGGAGGGAGAGGGGGAGGGAGGAGAAAGATGGGAGAGGAGGAGGAGGAGTGAGGAGGATAGGAGGCGGAGGAGGAGAGGAGGTATAGGAGGAGGGAGGAAAAGGAGAGGGAAGAGGAGGAGGAGGAGGGAGAGAGGAGGATGCGGAGAAGGAATGAGAAGGAGAGGCAGGAGAGGAGGAGGTCGGATGAGATAGGAGAGGAGAGGACGGGCGCGAGTAGATAGAGGGGGAGAGGAGAGGAGTAGGAATAATAGGATGAGGAGGAGTCTGCGTAGTAGGAGGAGTAGGAGGGATTATGGGCAGGCGGTATGCGGCGGTGCGGCATGTCCTGAGTCTTGGGGGGAACTCGGCTCGGCGCGGCGCGTGCTGCTTCTCTCTGTCTTCTTCATTCTTCCGGCGGCGGTCTTCTTGCGGCGCCGTTGTTCCTTTTTCTCGGTCTCTCCACTATATCTTTGCTTCTTCGCCCTTCTCGCCCCCCCTGTGAATAAAAAGAACCCCCACACAGAGTCACAACTATAGTCCCACGAAGCCCCCCTCTCTCCACCCGCACCCTCCTTCAACGGGCCCCACCAACTAACCTTCCCTTTGTTGGAATTAACCCCTCGTTGGAAGACAACCGTTTAAAGACCCTGAAGCGTGCCAAAGCATTATTCTCGGGATTCCAGCGCCACGGATCAAACTGACGATTGCGCCTTGACGGTCTTGAATCGTGCCAGAACGCCGTTCCTGGGCCTGAAACACCGCGAGTCAACGTAGCTGTTGCACCCTCATAATCCTGAACCCTTCCCAAACACCATTTTTGGTACGCTGATTACGGGAGTCCGCGATACTTGTTGCATCATTTGGAAGCGAATGCGCGCAGCGCTAAAGCGAGAACCACATTCGGAAAAGGAGCCATCCTCAATCCGTGAAGCTCTTGCGCATGTGTAAAACAAATGCACGCGGCGCTCAAGCGAGAACCACATTTTGGAAAGCGCCCGCCCTCAATCCGCAAAACTTGTACACAGATCTAAAACGAATGTGCGCCGCGCTAAGGCGAGAGCTAAATTTTGAAAACGACCCGCCCTACATCTGTGAAGATATTGCCAATGTTTGAGCTTCAGGGCAATAAATGGTAAGGACTTCTCATGCGAAGCGCCTGGCCAGCCCTAAAAACTGGCCTCGGGGTGCGACGAGGAGAACTTACTTGTAAGGACAAGGAATGGAGGAGGAGGAGGAGGAGGAGGAGGAAAAAAAGGCGGAGGAGGAAGAGCAGCAGCAACAGCAGCAGCAACAGTGCAAACCCAAGACGCATCAACGATGCTGGGATTACCCCTCCCTCCAAACTCCCTCTTCATATGCCCCCATATAAGGAATCATTCCCAATGAGGAAAGTGCTCTTTGGGAGATCACCGCTCACACATCCTGAACCGTGCCGACCGTTTTTTCTTTCCCGGGTAGAGGTCGCTACCCGGGGGAAGAACGGTCGTTACCCGGGGAAGGGGGGGAAGGCGGGAGGGTAACGGTAACGGCGGCCGCGGCGTGCACCCGCCAGGGTGCGACCGCGCCACTGGCGCACCAATCGCGTGTATGCGCCATAGCACGTGGCGGGGGTCCAGCCCCCCCCCCCAGTACGATCGCTAGCGTTACTTCGAGGGGGCGTGGGGGGGGGGGGGGGCCTGGGTAGCGAGTGCGACCAGGGGGAATAACAGAACGCACCAAAACACCATTCTCGAGACGTCACTGCCGCGAATCAACCTGACTGGCGCGTCTTGGCGATCCTGAGTCGTGCCAGAAAGCCGTTCCTGCGACTTCAACACCGCGAATGAACGTAACTGTTGCGCCCTTACACGCATGAATCGCTCCAAAACGCAATTCGTGGTAACTTGAAAACCTGCGAAACTCTTGCAACTTGGTAAGGCGAAAAAGGAGCCGCCCGCAATCCGTGAACTCTTGAATGTTTCACGCGAGCCATATTTTGCGCGGCGAAGAGACAACCATATTGTGAAACCGGCCCGCTTTCAATCCATGAAGCTCTTGCATTTTTTAAAATGCAAATGTGCGCAGCGCGATAGCGATAACCACATTTTGAACACGACCCGCTCTCAATCCGTGCAACTCTTGAAATGTTTGAAACGGATGTGCGCGGCGCTACCGCAAGAGCCATCTTTTGAAAACCACCCGCTTTCCATGTGTGAAATTGTTGCAAATGTTTGAGCTTCATGATCACAAATGGCAAAGAAATCTCCAGCGAAGCGCCCCTCGCTCTCTTACGGGCCTCGGAGTGCGACAGGGAGGAATTACTCATAAGGAGAAGGAATGAAGGAGGAGGAGGAGGAGGAGGAGGAGGAGGAGGAGGAGGAGGAGGAGGATATGAGATGAGATGAGATGAGATGAGATGAAATGAATTGAGATGAGACGAAATGAGATGAGAGCAGACTGGGAGGCGCACGGGTGCGTCGGCCACGCCAGCTGCCCTCAGCCGCCCGCGGACTGCCCGCGGGCGAAGCGGCGCGCCTCTGCGCGGCGCTGGGCCGAGGGCCCCCACCCACAGTGGGGCGCGGTGGGTTCGACCCTCGCTCGCGGTGAGGCGCCGCGGCCAGCGGCCTGGCCAGCAGCCCCGCCCCACGGGCAACCTGGCCTGGCCGCCTCAGCCGCGCTGCCTGCGGTGGGCTGGCGGAGGCCCCGTGACCCGCCACGCCAGCTCGCCGAAAGACATGGCGGGCGGCGTCGGAGGCGGCTGGGGCGGCAGCGGCGGCTGCGCAGGCGGCCGCGACGCCCCGCGCGGACGCGGGCCGCAGCGCCGCTCCCCAGCCGCGCCGCCCACACTGCCGCGGGGGGGCTGTCGGCGGCTGGGCCTGTCCTCGGCGCCGCCTCCACCGTCGTTGCGTCGCCGAGGCTCCTCGTCGAGCAGGCCGGGTAGATCTGCGTCGTCATCCTTCATCGCGCACTGCAGCTGCCGCGGTGCAGTGGGCCCAGCAGCGGACGAGGGCACCGCAGCTAGGAGGAGGGGCGCGCCGTTCCTCAGGCGAGCAATGCCATTCAGAGCAGCCATGGCGAGCCCACCTTCCGTTGCCGTCGACCCGCCTTGCTGAGCTCCACTGGCCTGGTCGCTGCCAGCGACATCTTGGCACTTCCAGCGGCGCCCCATCGCTGCGCCCCGCGCGCGCCAGACGAGCAGCTCCTGCAACGGCCCAGCTAGCAGCGCCAGGGCCTCGGCCAGCATCGGCGAGGACCGTCCGCCGCGCGAGATAGGCGGCCTCGCCTCGGCGAGAGCCGATTTGGGGCGGCGGCGGCGCGAGTTCCTCTCGGAGTGCCCACTATGGCCCCCGCCCCGCGCGGATCAACCCTCGGCTTGACCGCCAAGCGCGGGCGCCGCGCCGCTGCCCTCCTCGCCGATGTGCCCATTCCGCCGTGTGACGTCCAGTATCTCGAGGTCCTCCAGCTCGGCGTCGGGTTTGGCGTTGCAGGCGTCACCATCTTGGGTCTACGAGCTCGCGGGCCCTGCCTTGGGCCAAAGTTCTCTCGCCAGTCTCCTGCGGCACTCCAACCCTGCGGCCGTGGGCGGCCCCCGCGGCAGCAGGAAGCCTCGGCCCAGCGCGCGAAGCCCCGGCCAGGCGAAACAGCCGCAGCGGCGGCAGGCCCACGCGTCCTGAACCATCATGGGCATCATCTGGTGGGGGGCGTGGACGTCGCAGTCGCCGACGCGCAGCTGCGCCGCCTCGCCAGTAGGCCGCGTGGCCAGCTGCGCCCGGCCGTCGCCGATCGTCTCGAGCCCGTAGTACGGGCCGCGCAGCCATGGCACGCGGCCGGCGTGGCCCGCCGAAGAGCGGCATCGCGCGCAACTCCCCCCGTCCTCGCACAGCGAGTGGGAGGCGTTGAAAGCCGCGTCCAGGCTCGGCGCGGGGGGCGCTCGGCGCGGAGGGCGCTCGGCGCGCGGGCGCCCGCCCGCGGCAGCTGGAACGTCCAGCGGCGGCGGCAGCGGCCGACGCGCCCAGGGCGGCGCGCAGGGCCCTCCAGCGCACCATGGAGGCGAGATGCTCGGCGGCCTCGTCGTCCTGGCGCACTTCGGGGGCCGCGCGCGCCAGCTCGGCAGCGCGCCCCGCCAGAGCATCCGCAATCGCGCTGCCCCGCGCCGCGGCGGATGGCACCCCGCGCCTCAGCGCCTCCTCGACGGTTAGGTGCGAGTTCCCGTGCCCCACCGTGAGGTCGCTCCTGCGGCGATGGCTGAAGATGGCGCCGAGCTTGCGCCGCAGGTCGGCGCCCATGCCCGTGGGGCGCTGGTCGCGCCGATTCCACCGCCCCTCGCAGACGGCCAGGTTGTCGGAGAAGAAGACTGCGGGCCCGTGCGAGTGCGCCGCCGCCAGCACTTGAGCTTGCAACTTCCCGCGGCGCACCGTCTGGCCCCGCCCAGCGAGGGGGCCAAAGACGGCGCGCGCGATCTCGGACACCTCGGCGCCAGCGCTGCAGACGGCAACGCCCGCTCGCCTGAGGCGCGGCGGCTTGGAGTCGGCCCCGCCGCTGTCGTCGCCGAAAAGCGCCGGGGGGGGCGCCCGCCGAGCCAGCGCCCGCGCTAGGCTCGCCCGATGCAACGCCGACGCGGGCTCAGCTGTCCAACTCGGGGGGCTCAGGCGCGCGCGCCCCGGCAGCGGGCGGCATGCCGCGACGCCAGAAGCAGGGGAAGGCCGTGACTTCAGCATGCGCCCTCGCGATGAGGGGGGCACCGAGGTCATGTGCCTTGGACCCGCTATTGACCTCGCACTCCCAGATGCGATGCGTGGCCGTCCGTCTCCAGCGAGTGCCCACAGCGCGGGCGCATGCAGGCGGCACCCTCGCCCGGGCCGAAGACCTCGGCGACGCGCGCCCCAGGCCACGCACCGCCCGCAGCAATGGTGGCGAGCAGCGAGGCCAGGCGCCGATGCCGCGGCGTCGCCTCCAACATCTTCACCGCGGCGCGCAGCGAGGACATGTCGGCGCCGCGCCGCGGCCCCTCGCCACGACACTGCGAGGGCGGCTCAGACCAAATATGCCACTGCGCCGACTCGTCGAACGCGTCCAGGAGCAGCTGCACCGATCCGCCCACCCGTGAATCAGAGCCAGGGAAAGTCCAGCGCCCTCAACTGCCGTCTGCGCACCGCCTAGCCCAGCCAAAAGGGCCCACTGGAACCCAGCCGTACGGCATGAGCACCGCCTACAACGCTGGCCCACGGACCTCGATTTGCATGCGAACTTCACCACGGTCCTTATCCTCTTATCCTTATCCTCTGGCGCGTCTCGAAGTCGATCGTGGATAGGGTTCCACGCTCGATGAACACGCTGCCCGAAGTGACCGTCTCGCCGCCAAGCCCGGAACCACAGGCGAGTTGCTGGCGAGGGAGGCTCCTCGCAGGGCCCTTCGCTCCACGGCACAACTGCAGGACCGGTGGTGAGACACTTCCCGCTGCCAGCAGCAGCGCTGACGGCGCCGAGCCTCTGACGTGCCGTGCACCGCCATGAGCAGGTAGTGCCGTAGACCTGGTGCCCATGCCTTGCAGCCGCCTGCGGGGGCGCCAGCTCGATGCGCGCACAGGTGCGGCGCCGCTTGCTGGCCCTCGCACCCTGCCTCCCCGAATTGGTCGACGTGCGCCGCGGCCTTCGCCAAGGTCGACACCGAGGCAGGGCGCGCACTTCCTCCTCCTCCTCCTCCTCCTCCTCCTCTTCCTCCTCCTCCTCCTCCTCCTCCTCCTCCTCCTCCTCCTCCTCCTCCTCCTCCTTCTCCTCTTCCTCAAGCCCCGAGGGCGGGGTCCTGGCACCTGCTCGCACGGCGTCAGCACACCACTCCTCGGGGCACACCGTCAGAGTCGACTGCATTCGGCGACTGGGGGCAGCTGAGCCGGCTCGCGCCTTTTGGAACCAGCCACGTGGCAGTTTGCCCGTGGCAGCGGCGCTAGCCACGCTCCGTGACCTGGAGATGGGTACCAGGCACGGGGGAATGTGCATCTGATTGGGAGGCCGGGCCATGTGGCCCGTAAGTCCCATGGTGGCCTTGCGCCCGCCCGCCCTGGGGGAAAAGCCCCAAATGCGAATGCCAGCTGATTGGGTTGGGGTTGCAAGTACCTCGCATTGACGACGTGAACCGACCCTATGCACCACGCCCTCTCGGCTGGGGGAAAAACGCTGGGCGGCGAGGTAGCTGCAGATCCCCTGTTCGTCGGTGCGCGCGCCTGCGGGCCCGCTTCCTCCCGTAAGGGGGATGCCAGGGGAGCCGGTTGCCTGCCCTTGCGGCCCGCTTGCGCGCGGTGTGCACCGTGCATTTCCTGGACCCATGACTTCAAAACTGAGGAGGAGGAGGAAGAGGAGGAGGAGGAGGAGGAGGAGGAAGAGGAGGAGGAGGAGGAGGAGGAGGAGGAATGGGGTGGGAGGGGGGGCGAATGGTTGGAGGGGGGAGGGGACGGGGGGGGTAGCGGCGCCGCCTCCCTTGAGATCCGACGTCTCAAAAAAATCGAAACATCGCGGGGAATCACGACTGGAGGGACCTCATCTTTCTGTTCTTTGTGTCTTTCCAGGAGGTCCCCTCTCGTGGTCCTCCTTGTCCTGTCTCTCCCCTCGTGGTCCTCCTTGTCCAACCAGAAGGGGCAGGTTTGCCACATTGGATATAGCAGGACCCTTGCCTGCTCATCGCCAGGACAGCGCGCGAGATTGCATTGCGCTCCTGTGTTGAATTGTACGTGCCTGCTGAGGAGAGGGTTCCTTCTGCGCCACTTGCCGAGCCGGATCTACCAGATGAGCTACAGAGCTGTTCGGCACAGAAATCGCAAGAGAATCATCTACCTTTAGCTCGGGCATGTCCTCCTACAGGCGGATTTCGGGCGGAAATTGTAAAATAGTCAAGAAATGCCCCAAAATACTAGAAACATAATGGCGACAAATCGTCCCGAGGCTATTTTCTACTATCCTCCTGTAGAGGGGCAGGCCCGACCTACATCTGCCTGTGAGGGTCCAGGGCTCCGACTCTGGGTGAACACGCCTGGCCCGAAGCCATTGAGCTGCCAGGACCTCGGGGTCGGGTAAGGATTCGCTCGGACATAGCCTCCTACAGGCGGATTTGGGACGAAACATAAAAAGCATACCCAACATATATTCCAAACTATACATCTTCTAAACTATGCATCTTCCAATATATATATATATATATATACACATACATACATATAAATAAAATACTATAGCGGATTTGGGACGACACATCTTCCCAAATATACACACATAAGCAGAACATCGTCCCCAGACCATGTTTTGATCCAAGTGTCGTCCTGTAGGGGGACGGCCCCCAACTTCCGGCAAGCGGGGGGGGAGTGCCCGGCCAGCGTGCCTGCGGCACGACGCGCCCCTCTTCGAGTGGCGCCGACCTGTGAGGGTCCAGGGACCCGGACCTGGGAGGAAGCGCCTGGCCCACAGAACCTGTGGTGCCAGGAGATCTCAGGGTCGGGCATCGGCGGCGACGATGCGGGCGAATAGCCCAGGGGCGGGCATGACACGCATTCGCCCGGGAGCCTCGCCGAAGACATGGATCATCGGCGCTCCTGGATGCATGTGCATGCACTGCTCCCCCCTGGGCTATTCGCCCCTGTCGTTCGGGTGCTGCTAGAAGTGCCCCTCGCCCGAGGTGCCCCACCTCTTCGTTTCCTTTTGGAGCCCTGGAGGCCCTCTGGGCCTCGTGAGGGGTGCCCTGGAGGCCGTTTTTGGGCCACCCCGAGAATCCTGGGGGGCACTTCTGGCAACGCCCGAGTCGTCGGGGGAGGGCCCGGCCGGCGTGCCTGCGCCACGACGCGCGCCTCGGCGCCGGGGGCCTCGCACGGGCGTGCCTCAACTCTTCCGGCCCACGGCGCCCTCGCCCGGCGTCGGGCCAGAAGGCCTCCACAGATCGACCCCTCGCGAAGGATAGCGCAGAGATGCCCAGCGATCGTTGAAGGTAAGTATTCTGAGCATGCTCTCTTAGGGTGGAGGGCTCCGGGTGAAATCCATGTGGGCTTTGGCACCTCGAAAAGCAATCCGTCTTGCGATTCACCTTTTGCAGAGTCAAAGCCTCGAGGATCCATCGAAACGCCATTTCAGATTTCACCCTGTGCCCTCCACCAAAAGGAAATGCTCGGGTATTTTTGGACCCCCAGATTCCAATCTACGTTCAGCGCCTTTCTGCTTCCATGGTCGAAAGGCTTCACCTTTTTCCGTCCTCCATGGGAGGGCGGACGGAACCCCATCTACTTTCCACGCCTCCCTGCGGACGGAAACCGATCTACTTTCGGCGCCCTCCTGCCTATACTTCTTCCGACCGCTGGGTATGGGGTCCGCGGCTTCGGCCGTGATGGTTTACGACGTTCCAATTTCTCGCGACGACGGATCTCAAGGGGAGGCGCCGGCCTGCGCCTAGGTCCCGGATGGGAGCGCACGGAGCGTGGCTGTGATGCTGTCACCTGGCGTTGTTTATCGACTGTGTGTGGCCCTCGGGGGTCGCTTCGGGCCCGGGGGGAATCTCAAACATCGGGGGCGTCCAGGAGGGGGGCGTCCGAGAGCGGGGGTGCAAAGCATGGCCCGGGGCATGCGCGCGGACCGGGGGGGAGGGCAGGCAACGCACTGAGATAAGAAGAGGCTCCATGAAATCTGGGGAGATACCATGGCCCCGCCATGAGTTCCCCCCACCTCCCCCCCTAGTCACCACCTCCCTCTCTGCCGCCACCGAAAACATCGATCCGAGACGGAGAACCACCCCGGGAGCATCGGCCGGCCCGGCGGATGCCAGGAAGATGAACAATACACAGAACAACCTCCAAGTAGCCAAACAATCATCCAAAAGTCGTCCCCAGACAATGTCTTGATTATGTTTTGGATATGCCTCCTGTGGAGGGACACGCCTGACTTAAGCAACATAGAGCACATTGCCGAAACCACCGGGCAGGAAAAGCAGAGCCCAGAAAAGGCACTCCAGCCCAGACAATTCCACCGAACCGTGCGCTGCGGGGCCAGTGAGCTGTCTTCTCTTTCGTCTGTAGCGCATCACAGCATAGACTGGCAACCTCGTCGTCCGCTCAGCACATCCCAGTTTGACCTCGCTGAACCAGTCCAGGCCCAGATGGGCCAAGATGAGATCAGCCAGGTTAGGGAAGCCAAGGCAGGTTACACTGCGCAGCGACAACATAAACTGCAAACGTGATGTTGAATACGCATGTACGTATAACACGCGTGAAGTTCGCCAGCTGCACTGGCAGACCAGTCTTAGCTTCAAGCGAACTGGCATCATAATCTTAGCCTCGCTCTGCATAACCAAATGACCGCTCTACCCAGCCGAACGATTGCACACATGGGGTTCGGCACTGAAAAGGCCAACCGCCTGCCGCAACATTATTCAGTACTACTTGCGTGCATGTTATAGTTCATGGCTGGAAGAGTTCATTGTGCTCGAAGACAACAAGTAATCTCACTGTAGCTGGATATGCGATACAATGCGATCTGCCAACACTGGATCTGAAGATGGGCAAGCACGGGCTCAACCAAACCAAGACAACAAAACACCAATTTAACGAATCGAAACATGCATGGTAGTAGAAACATGGATCTGAGCTGAAGTGGGCAAAACCGGGAACTACAATAAGATCAACGACGAAATTCAAGCCAAGCTATCCGTTTGTGGTACACATTCACATCGAGCAACATGATCGTCGAATGTATCCTCGGTCGGGCACAAGCAGAGGCAGCGCAGGCAGTTAGAAACCCCTTCTCATCCCAAAATGGTCGTTGTTTCAATGTCTTGGCAATGCCTTGGCGAATCAGCCCACGTAGCCGGTCAGCGCCAGTGTATCGGGAAGGGCACTGCAAGCGGCAAGTTTTGAACCCCTACCCTGAACCCATCCCTCCTAAGGCCCAAGCTTCAACTCCCGTGGGGCTTACCCGGGCTGTCACCTTCCAGGGGGGCGGCACCCGCTCGGCAATTGGGACTCGCGCCGTCGAAGAGGACCGAACCGAACCGAGCCTCCTCGGCCCCTCGAGCGGATCGGGCGTGGACTGGCCCCGATTGGCTCCGACGCGGCTCGGTCTAGGCAAAACATGCGCTGCACATTTCTCGGGGGAGGGTCCCGCTGTTTCCCAATGCTGGCTCAACGAGTATGCTAGGCCACCCCCCCCAAGGCCACGAGCTGCTCCCCAGCCCGCTTGCGCGGAACCCGGCGGCCCTGGAAAAAAAAGGGCTGCACGAGCATCGACCTCCAGGGCGCCGCGCGGCCCTCGTGGATCGGCGCCGTGCCTCCATGGCGGCGTTTTTTCCTCGACCCGTGGCGCGGAACCCGTAGGTCGAGCATGCCCCCCTGCAGGCAGATTCTGGGCGAAACATCAAAAACAAGCATACCAGTACATAAGCAAAATATCATCGGAAACTCGTCCCAGTATTATTTTTGTTGGGCAATATTTCAATATTCCTCCTGTAGAGGGGCACGCCCGACCTAACACTACCTGCCGGCTGTTCGGAGCGCCTGCCACACCCCTGTTAAAGGCTCAACGACTTCTGCCGTCCTCTGAATCGCGCTGGAGCGGCCGCGAGTTGGTCTGACTTTCTCTGGAGATCTTTGGATGTACCTGAATTTGCCCGGATTGACCTGGATCTACATGGACTTCTCTCGGTTCATCTGGATCTGTCTGGATTGATCTGGCTCGATCCCCACAGGTCGATGGGCGAAACGTCGAGAAGCCCTTATAAGGGACACATCTGAAGGGGCCCTGGGACACACAAACGAATACACACAAAGAAAAGCATTCCCCATATTTTCCCATATTTTCTGAGTTTCTGTCTGCCCCCCCCACACTTCCCATATTTTCCCACATCTTCGGCGGAATCGAGGATGAATTGCGTCTGTGTGTGACCAGGAAGGGGTGGGTGGGGGGGATGTCTCTCCCCCCCACCCTCCCTTTCTGTCCCTTCTCCTCCTCGCCCTCCTACTTCCCGAGAGGGGAGGAGGAGGAGGAGGAGGAGGAGGAGGAGGAGGAGGAGGAGGAGGAGGAGGAGGAGGATTCCCCTCCTGAGCCCCCCTGGTCCACC